CCCTTGTGGCTCAGCTGGTAAAGAATCTACCCGCAATGCAGGTGACCTGGGTTCGATCTGTGGGTTGGAAAGATCCCCTAGAGAAGAGAAAGGCTACCCACTCCAGTATTTTGGCCTGGAGAAGTCAATGGACTGTTTAGTCCATGGGGTCGCAAAGAGTTGGACACTGAGCAACTTTCACTTTGACTTTTCACTTTCAAAATTTATTTAACCATTCCTCCATTGTTAGTTACTCCATTTTTTTATATGAATAATATTTCAGTGAACATCCTTGCACATCTGAACATGTGTCTGATTATTTTCTTAGGCTGATTCTAGAAGTGGGGTTACTGGCTTGTTTTGAAGCCTCTTGATATGTACGACCAAATTGTTTTCTGGATGTCGATTGCAAGATACTTGCCAAGCACTTTCTAGCCCTCCTGTTCATGAGTCACTTTTACCTCCACTCCCATTATATTCTGTCTCTTGTTGTACTACACTCCTTCTATACTGAGTTTGCATTTGATATGTACCAGTCTTGAGGGCTTCCCTGATAGCTAAGTTGGTAAAGAATCCACCTGCAATGCAGGAGACCCCAGTTCGATTCCTGGGTGGCGAAGATCCTCTGGAGAAGGGATAGGCTACCCACTCCAGTATTCTTGGGCTTTCCTTATGGCTCAGTTGGTAAAGAATCTGTCTGCAATGTGGGAGACCTGGGTTCAATTCCTGGGTTTGGAAGATCCCCTGGAGAAGGGAAAGGCTACCCGCTCCAGTATTCTGGCCTTGAGAATTCAAGAATGGAATATAGTCCATGGGGTCACAAACAGTCGGACATGACTGAGCAACTTTGGCATTAGGAGGCTGTCTCCTATCATCCTCCTGTCTCCTTCTACCTCCAGCACAGGTGGAAAAGAGGGGGCTGAGGACTGAATCCATTTAGGGGAATGTGAAAGCTGGAGAAGAGCTCAGTTTGGGAAGGAGAAGGGTATCTTGGTATCCACACTCTGGGTGGGGACGCATCACTGGTTCAAAGCGAAGAAAGGGCTGGTCCTCAGCCATTCATGCATCCAGACTCTGGGAGCCGGGGAAGATGGAAAACAAGTCAAGTCCAGAGCCTGGAAGGGGGCAGTTCCTGTGATGCCTGGATAGCGGTAGTCTGCCTTGAGGACCCGGTCACCCTTTCCCTTGCAGCTGGCCCACTGCAGCCATCCCATGCTCACGGTCCTGACTTCGGAAAACACCTGCATTGCTGATTGCAGACGCTTAAATTTGTGATTTTTAGGTCAGCATTTCCCAAACTTTAGCTGTACTTTATTCAAGATTTCGGGTTTTAGCGAAAAGAAATCTGCAATACGCACAGTCACATACCCCCTGATTCATATCACCCAAGCCATCACTTCTCTACAGTTAAAACGATGACTGAAACATTCAGAGTGTGCCCACATCAGTCACAAGGTCTGCCTTAAAGCATATCATGCCACTTGCTTTAGCCTCATCCTAAGCAGTAAAAATTTTGAAATCACAGGTTTGGTAGATTTGTTAGATGTTCTGTAACACACACTAAAACTATAACGAAAGCTGTGACAAAAGAAAATTGTCAGCCATTGCTAATACTTTTACTACCAGCTGGTGGTAATTGGACCACATCTTTGGGAAACAACTGTTTTAACTAAACAGTTCCTTTATATTATAGTTGACTATGTGTATTTCCTTGACTTAATCATAAGCTTTCCAAAGTCAGGTATGGTTTCTTTGGTGCTTTGAGTGTTGAGGCTCAATAAATATTTTTCTTCCTTTGGTTCGGTTTGTTTTGGTGATGGGATATTGGTCAATAAGAGTTAACCTAGGTGCTTAACATAAGTGAAGCCCCCAAGGTCAGGATTATAAAGAGGAGAGCAACATTTATATGGTCAAGGAAGTTGCCCTGGGGCTTCCTTCATGGTGCAGTGGTTAAGAATCCACCTTCCAATGCAAGGGATGCCAATTCGATCCCTGGTCCAGGAAGGTTCCACATGCCTCAGAGCAGCTCAGCCTATGCGCTGCATCTACTGAGCCTGTACTCTCTAGCCCGTGCTCCGCAACAAGAGAAGCCACCACAATGAGAAGCCCAAGCACTGCAACTAGAAAGTAGCCCCTGCTCACCGAAACTCAAGAAAGCCCATGTGCAGCCACGTGCAGCCCACATCCAGTACAGCCAAAAATAAATATTAAGAAAAAAATAATAAAATAAAATAAAATAAAAGCTTCCCTGGGATTTCCCTGGTGGTCCAATGGTTAAGAATCGCCTTGAATGCAAGGCACTCAGGTTCAATACCTGGTTGGGGAACTAAGATCCCATGTGCCATGGGGCAACTAACACCACACACCACAACTTCTAAAGTCCACGTGCTACAGTGAAAGATCCCACATGCGGCAACTAAGACCCAATGCAGCCAAATAAATATGTAAATAAATATTTAAAAAATAAAAAGTAAATAAAATGGTAAAAAAAAAAGTCACCCTGGTTTAAATACTGTGTCGTCATAATTTGGACTGGAGTGATCAGGCTGGAAAACAGTAAGTCATTCACATTCTATCTATCCTTCTTGGAATAAATAACACATCTACACATTTAAGAATTAGTCTTGGAGTAACATTTAGCTCATGGAGAAATTGAACCCACTATACTGACCTCATGAAATAAGAGGAATTTTCCATACCTTGAAAGCACGGAGTGCAGTATATGGCCATTGATCAGAAGACATGAGTTGGATGAATGGATAAGGTGCTGATCTACAGTCAACAGAGCTTAACTACCCCTGGAAAAGCATCCTCAGACAGAGCAAGAACTGTTTACTCAGTACATGACATGCCGTGGTCTTTATACGCATTGCTCTTCTAGATCCCATGAGGTAGCCGCATGGGAGGAGAGGGTGAAATTCTGCCAACAGGTGACAGAGGCCCCACCACTGTCTGCCACCTCAGATGGCTGAAGTTTCCTGAAAGATCCAAGACTTAGTGTGACCCAGAAGCCGGTCAGGAATTTGTGGAAACTAGTGGATAGCCTTCTGACCAGCCAAATAAACAAAGATGACCAAAGGGAAGTGTGACTAAGATTCCAGAATAAAAGAGTGTATTAAGAGAGGGAGAAAAGGGCACCCTTGTGTCAGTCACCTGCAAGAGGTAGAGACATTTTTCAGGGCCTGGCCAACCCTGCCTCCCCCGTAGCCCTATTTGCCTCTTTTTTTCTGAACCTCTCTCCCAAGTGCGGAGTCCTTAGCCTGTAACTTAGGATAGCTTAGCCCAGTCGCACATAAGAAATTCGTTCTTCAGAGACTCAAAATGAGCAATACTGCTTCCCCAGCTACTTAGGATCCAGTGGAGGCAAGAACCAGATGAAGTACAAAGAGTACACCCCTGGGTCAGAGACCTGGGTTGGAGCCCTGAGTCTTTCATGACCTTAAAGTTGATCCCCTCTAACTCATGGTTCATTTAACAGGTATTTTCTCCTATCCAAGTTACTAACCAGACCCGACCCTGCTTAGCTTCTCAGATCAGATGAGATCGGGCATGTTCAGAGTTGTATGGCTGTAGACCATTTAACAGGTATTTTCTGAGCAAAGGCTATGTACCCAGTACAGCCCTGGGCACTAGGGATCCAGCAGTGAATAAACAGGAGGTCCTGCTGGCCCGGACTTCACATCCTAATGATAGTGATTAGGTTGAATAAGCAATAAACAGGCAGTGTAACTGCTTCCCTGGTGGCTTAGATGGTAAAGAATCTGCCTGCAATGTAAGGAGACCTGGGTTCAATCTCTGCATCAAGAAGATCCCCTGGAGAAGGGAATGGCAACCACTCCGGTATTCTGCTTGGAGAATCCCATGGACAAGAGGAGCCTTCCAGGCTGCGGTCCATGGGGTTGCAAAGAGCCAGATACGACCGAGCGACTAAACACACACACGCAAGGACAAATCAGAGGAGGTTCCTCCTGAAAGAGAGGAGGGAAGGTCTCCCCAACACAGTGACATTTGAGCTGAGACCTGAAAGTTAGGAAACCAATCACGGGCAAGAGCCTTACCGGCGGAGGGAGCAGCCCACCCAAGATGGGACCACATCTGGATGGAGGACAAGGAAGGAGACACAGAGATGAGATGCTGCTGCCTCAGTGGTTTGGACACAGTTTTCCAGGCAATCCTAGGACCTCCCCGGTTTTGTCCCAGGAGTGGCAGAGCCAAGGCAGAGGCCCCCCCTACCTGGCCCGACACACATTACAGCTCTGCTTCAATGTGAAGCATGTACTGGGTGCTGCTTAAGATTTTGCTCAAAGAACAGATCCCATGATCACAAATTCCTGATCTCTAGACTCCTCCATCCTTCCAGTTGTTGGACTCTGAAAAGTCCTCCTCCAACCTCTATGGTCCGACTCTGTTCAGTAGACAGAGTCAAAAAGTACAAGTCCCAGTGACCTGACCCTCCTCATCGGAATCCCCTCTGCCTCCTCCTGTGGTGCTGGACTGGACTTGCTGATGCCCCCACACCCACCCCCTGGGAAGGGACTCAGGTTTCTATCTCCTCCTGATCTTGCACTGTTGGAAGGAGACACTCTGTCCCACACCGGAGAGCTTTATCCGGAGATGGGGGAGCGACTCCAGTTTCTTCCAACCTGTGCTATGGAGAGCTGGCCAACTGCCCCCTCCCTAACCCCAAACTCCTCTCTTTCCTCTTCTCCGGAGCAGAACGGCCCGCAGCCTTCACAGAAGCTCTGGGGTTTGGGGGAAAGCCCCGGGAGGGATGTGCAATTGTCTTCTGGTAACAGCAGCATAATTAACTTTGACTGACGTGAGGAAGCAGAGCCCAAGAGGGATTCAAACAGTCCCTTTCTCACACATTTCAGAACAAGTGGAGAGTCTGGCAGGGAGACAGGGAGAAAAGGGATAAACCGGCGCAAGGGGGAAGTATCCAGTACCAGAATGTCCATCCTTGCTCCCCAGCATCCCCCTCTGCCCCCGGCCCCTCTCCCCTCTGTCCCAGGAAGACTTACCTGAGGGTCGACGATCCCTCTTTCTGGTTCCATCCTGCTGCTCTCACCGGCCGGGTGCTGGTCAGACTGCGTGGGCTCCAGGCCCTGCCATCTGATCTCTGCCATTTCCTCTGGGTGGGAGAGACCTCCCAGCGGCGGGACAGACATGCTGTCTGCCCGTCTGATGTGGGATGCTGTGCTGGCCTTGGCCCCTGGGGAGTATACACGTGCATACACGTGTGTATATGTGTGTGTGTGTGTGTGTGTGTGTGTACGCTCCTGGCAGTGGCATGTGGCACATTGGCAGGTGGCCTTTTGAGTCGGTGGCGACAGCACCGTTGACCCCAGTGGCCCCAATGCCCCAGAGGCGCTGTCTGAGGTCACTCATCCTGCTTTTAGCAAGAGCGGTTACTCCTGGCAGAGAAATCCTGTGGGTTTATCCCGGAAATTGAGAAACAGCCTGAAGACACCATCTGGCTTCCTGCTGGTGGAGCCAAATAGGGTCCCCAGTCACCAAGGCCAGGGGGCCTCCAGCTTATTTCGAAGATTGAGGCTCAGGGATTTCCGCTTTCCTTAGTTCCCTTTGCCCCTAAAAGTTAAAAAAAATTGTCGTTTACTTAATAGACCCAAAGCATAAGCCTTACTCTACTAAGTGTATGAACAATACATTTGTATTGACAGTTTGGTTGTCATTTTCTCCCTTGATTAGCTAGAAAGAGAGGAGGAAGAAGTTGTACTTCTAAATTCTGTTTATGCAAGGAGTTGCATTTCCCCTGTTTTTAAAATAAAGCTACCAGGAATGAGTCTTTTTTTGGAAAGATTTTCTTCCTCTTGTTTACCTTAGAGCCAGAAACGCCTCTGGTTTGTTCCCAAAGCTGGTTTTAGACATCAGCTTGTGCGTGTGTGGGCGTGAGAGGCAGCGTGAAATGTATAACCCAGTTTAATGGTGGGGGGAGAAGGGCAGAGTCACAAGTGTACTCCCACCACCCTCAAACACAGCAGTAAAAGAGCAATTTCTCTGCTCGTATGAAGTGATGTAACGTGTTTATAAGTCCCCATCCTGCTGGACAGGTGCTGAGAGGGAGGGTGGACCACGGGATGAGGGCTAATCTAACAGACACACTTGCATCTAATTTAAATAGCAAACAGTCCAGCCGAGATAGAATACACAGTCTTGGGACTTCCTTCGTGGTCCACTAGCTAAGAATCCGCATTCCCAATGCAAACGGGTCGGGTTCGATCCCTGGTCAGGGACCTAGATCCCACCTGCTGCAACTAAGGGTCTGCCTGCCACAACTGAGACCTTGCACAACCACATACATAAATAAATATTTTTAAAAAGAGAATGCACAGTCTTTCCAGTTTCCACTCCTGTCCCCCACAGGGGAGGGGTGTGATTTCTGTATGCTTGCTGGCAGAGGGGTGATGGCCTGTCCATCTCTGCTAGTTTCTACTCTGGAGCCGCTAGGCAGAGCCCGACTGGGTCTGCTCCTTGCTTCTGCTGAACAGCCTTGGTGGCTGGTATCTGTGGCCACAGTACCTCCTGGTCCTTCTCTCTTTGCTCTTACGGACCCCAGGGGCTCCCTTGCTGACTCTCCCCATCTGGACTCTGGTGGTGACTGGACCACCTGAGACTTGCTATGACTCGCATGAGCTCCTCTCCAGGTGGTCTCAGATCAGTGGTCTCCTCACCCCTCTCCCCAGCCCCCAAGATGGTTCCCTCTAGAAACCCTCCTACCAGACACCTGGCTCTTGGTCCTGAGTTTCTGATGAAGGCCAGGCCCAGCCCCACTTCTGGTGAAGAATTTACTTTGACAGGGCTGCTCCAGGTTGGTTCGGGGGCAGCCTTTAGGGTGACCTCCTTCCAGACCGCAAAATGGGAGTGAGAGACAGAGCCCACCATCTGCTGAGCCATCTTTCCAAAATCTACAGCAACCCCCCCCACCCACATCTCCACTACAATGCCACTAAGTGACCAACACTATTCTAAGCACTTCAGCACCCACTCAGTCACTCAATTCTCATTACAATTCTGCGGGGCAGGTGATACCATGACCCCTGTTTCACATCCGAGGAAACAGAAGCACAAAGAGGTTACGCTGCCCAGGATCGAACCAAGATTTGAACCCAGGAGATCTGGATTCAGAGTCATGCTCCCACCCATGATTTCAGCTCAGAGAGGGGAGATTGGGACTCACGTCTGAACACCTGCCTTCTCTTTCTCTGCTTCCCTTCTTCCCATAGCCCACATAACCCTGGGTCAGAAAAGGTGGGCTTTCTCTTCTTTCTCTTTCTGTTTGATTGGCACTTGCCTTATGTGGAATACCTTGATAATAATTCAAAAAGAAATAAAGACATTTAGAAGATCCTCATTCTTGGGACTTCCCTGGAGGTCCAGTGGTTAAGAATCCCCTTTCTAATGGAGGGGTCATGGGTTCCATCCCTGGTCAGGGAACTAAATTCCATATGACATGGGGCAACCACTGAGCTCACATGCCAAAACTAAGACCTAATGGGGTACGTGTGCTCACTCAGTCGTGTCCGACTCTTTGCGACCCCATGGACTGCAGCCCGCCAGGCTCCTCTGTCCATGGAATTTTCCAGGCAAGAATACTGGAGTGGGTTGTCACTCCCTCCTCCCGGGGATCGTCCCCACCCAGGGACTGAAACCACATCTCCTGGGGCTCCTGCATTGGCAGGCGGATTCTTTACTACTAGCCCCACCTAGAAAGACCCAATGCAGCCAAATAAATTAATATTTTTTAAAAAAATCCTTATTCTCAACAAAACCTGGCTATCAAAATATAGTCTCAGTGGAAAACCTTATTTTGAATGTAAGAAACAAAATATTAATTATCCCTTTCTCCTTGCAGTTCTGTTTATAACAACCTCAGTCATCCTTTAGACAATATGATACATCTGGCTAAATAGAGGGGAAATCAGAACAAAAAAATGCAAAAGAGAAAAGCACCTGAAGATATTTTCCCTCCAAACCCCTATTAAAAGCACATTGGTTTTAAAAGGAAACAGCTGTAATTGGCTACAGTAATGGTTTCGGTTTGGCAAGATCTTGGATTTGGACTTTCCCCACCTCATAAGCATCGTTTGGCAGTAAATAGCAAGCAGGATTTGAGATGGTTTATCTCTTCTGACTGGACCAGGGCTCAGCAAACTTCTTCTGTAAAGTGATAAAAGGGACAGAGAACAAATATTTTTTACCATTATGGGCCCTCCAGTTTCTGTTACACCTAGTACATCTGTCTCAGCTCTGCTATTGCAGCCTGAAAGCAGCCGTAGACAAAACTACTGCCATGTTCCAATAAAACTTTATTTACAAAAACAGAGAGTGGACCTGATTGGGTCCTGCAGGTTGTACAATCTGCTGACTTCTGTTTCTAAACAAAAAGAGGATCTAGAGTCTTCATTATCGCAACTTGGTCCAAGTTCCCAGACCATGTCTTTTTTTTTAAGAAAAATTTATTTATTTTCCATAACCTTAAAAATATTGAAACATAATTAATTTACAGTGTTGTGTTAGTTTCAGGGGTACAGGAAGGTGATTCAGTTACACTATACATATATCTATTCCTTTTTAGATTCTTTTCCATTATGAGTGATCACAAGATATTGAATGCATATATTCTATTTCAGATTCTTTCCCATTATAGGTCATTATAAGATGTTGAATATAGTTCCCTGTGCTAAACAGTAGGTCCTTATTGTTTATCTATTTTTATATAGTAGTGTGCATATATTTAATCGAAGCTCCTCATTTATCTCTCCTTCCCACCCCCCCACACCCCGGCCATCCCCCTTGGTTACTGTAGATTTGTTTTCTATGCCAGACCAGGCCTTTCAAGTCTTAGTCCCACTTGAGAAGTGCCAGCGTAGCCCCTACTGCAAAGATGTGAAAGTGTTAGTCCCTCAGTCATGTCTGACTCTTTGCGACCCCATGGACTGTAGCCCACCAGGTTCCTCTGTCCATGAAATTCTCCAGGCAAGAATACTGGAGTGAGATCTTTCCCACCCAGGGATTGAACCTGGATCTCCCATATTGCAGGCAAATTTTTTTTTTTTTTTTTTACCATTTGAGCCACTGGGGAAGCCCTGCACAGATAATATGATATCAAATAAAAATACATGCCCTTGTGAGACACACATGCCAAGTTAAGCTGTAGTGAAGAGTACTCTGACCTTTGTTTGTAATACTGAAACTGTACCTACACAGAGGCTCTTCAGTCTGTTTCTCTTTACTGCCAGGGTGACTTCTGCAGTGGGAAACCCATGGGACATTTTTAGGGAAACTGCCTCTTGGAAAGTATGTTTTTTTTTAATGTGCTTGAACTTATAGGTAAGTAAATACTCAGAGCAACTCAGAAAGTGGTCATGGAGTAGGAGGCCCACAGTGAGACCCTCAGGCTAGCTTGCCATGTAGGGGTCACAGAGAGGAGACCCCTTAATGCTGAGTTGGTGAGACAAACCCTGGGTGAAAACTGGGTGACCTGGGATCGTGTGTGCTGAGTCACCGTGTGTTCTCAGGCACATCACTGAGCCTCTCTGGATCTTACATTCTCTTTCTTGAAAAGTAATGATGTCCCAAAAGAGGATTCCGAACATCCCTAAAGCTCTTAAATTCTGTTTCTAAAGTGTATTTTTATCAAACACTTCCTGTGTAACAGATACGATCTCAGATCCACGTCTGAATTTTAGTAAAAGTTAAGAATCTCTAAGGGCTTCCCCAGGGGCTCAGCGGTAAAGAATCTGCCTACCAATGCCAGAGATATGAGACCTAGGTTCGATCCCTGGGTTGGGAAGATCCCCTGGAGAAGGAAATGGCAACCCACTCCAGTATTCTTGCCTGGAGAATCCCATGGACAGAGGAACCTGGTGGGCTACAGTCCATGGGGTCACAAAGAGTTGGACACAACTGAACAATTGAGCAGTCACACCAGTGCAGGGACTGATGAGGAGCCCAGCTGGCCGAAGGGGTCATTAAGAATGAGGCTGGGTGGCTCTGGCACCATCCAACAGAGCATTTACATCTTCAGTGTTTCGTGAAAGCAGCCATTAGCCACATGTAGGGACTGAAATATGACTCGAAATATGAAATATACATGAAATATGACCAGTGTGACTGAGAATCTGAATTTTAAATTTTGTTTAATTTT